TTGAGAAAAGAAACGCTAGTATTAAAAACTCAAAAAAGAGGCACAGCCTAAGGGCAGAGGGCAGAGGTCACCCTCCCTTGAAAACTAAACCAGAGTAGCTTTCCAATCTTTAATAATCATAAAGAGTCTGTAATTACAAGAGAAATTCTTGTGGTTTGTAGTCTATCAAAGAGTGTGCCAAGGGACTTTTTTCCTTCAAAATCTCTACTGTTTCGTTCTGTCCAAAGCATGCATGGACTACACAATTCCATAAAACACTTGTTTTACCTTAATGAAAGAGCCACCAAAATACTATGTTGTTAAATCATCACTAAACCACAAAACTTCAATTGATAGGTCGGTGTATTTAAAATTTTTAATATATTCTTAACAGAATCTTTAATTGGTGAGTGTTCTGGCCTATTCAAGCTTAAGTATCACATATTTCCAGTAGTGCCAAGCCCCAAGATCAATGTTATAAATTTGATCTGTTTGGAAGATACCCACGGTATCATGTTGGTATTGATGAGCTAGAAGCAACATTCCTGTTGGAATATTTCTACCTCATAAGATGAAGTGAAATTTCTACTTTTGAAGGTTATTTGTATGCTGCCTAGGAACTAGTTCGTTTTAAGGGGAGGGAAGAGGTAGTAGAGTTGGGCAAATTTACTCGTAATGTTGCTATTACGTTGGTTCCTATTGAGAATTTTATGTACATGAAGTTGCTGTTTCAATTTTGTTGAATTGATTACTTACTTCGTCAATTAGTTTAAGTCAGTTTTCTCGATTTCTAAGTATTACTGTGTTAATTAAATGGCTTGTTAATTGTCAACCAAGTACTATGACCTTGTAATCGCAACATTTGAATTGAATCATGGATGTTAGGCTACATCAGATATAAAACCTGTTAGGCTACATGAGATAAGCAATGCATTCATAATTGAAGTTATCCCAACTAATCAAATAAAGTCTGATTAAATCAGGACTCCACCTTGAGATCCGGATTGAAAAACAGTAGATTGTACTCTGGGCGGACTCTTAGTGTAGAAACAAGCTGCATTGATGAACAGATCCAGTTGTAAGAACCAAGTAGTGAAGATAACATAACAATCAGAAAAAACATAACAAGCATAAGAAGGGATAATGCAAGGACGAAAACAAAAAGATAGCCATGGTTCAAGAACTTCTAGAACTTAAACTATTCATCATTAGATAAAGACATGTTTCCCTTACTATATTTAGAAATAATAAACAGAACATTCATTAGGAGCATACCTGTAAACGTATTGCATCTGTCAAAAGGTTATCCAAGTTATCACGCAACTGGGCTGAATAATCCTCCCTCACAGCATCACTAAAGCCAGTGACAGTTGCACGAACAATGCACTAAAGAGCAAAGATGTTTTTTCAATTCAGAGCGGCGGTAAATGGAGGTTTAGGGGGAATGAGAGATTTCAATCACACAAGAAGAAAGATCTCAACACCATTAAAAAAGTTATCAGCATTACATGAATTTCACCAATATAACCCACACAAAATAAATAACAATAATACATGTGCTCATAATGCTAGGAATAGATATTACAATAATTAGCAAGAATATTTATCAAGAAACAGTGTCCAGAGATAGTTATTCTTCCAGAGTCAAAGGTGCAGCATTCTGATAAAAAATTCATCATGTCAATATGGAGTTCTAGAGACATTGAATGGGCAAAATTAGATGCAGAAGGTAGTTCAGGCGGTCTGTTTGTTTTATGGGATACATCCAAAGTAGAAGCCAAGGAAACTCTGAAAGGTGTGTTGTCACTCTCAATTCTCTTCTCCTTTTCCAATAGCAAAGAATTCTGGATCACAAATGTGTACGGACCTTCTGATTATAAAGAGCGAAGAAACTTCTGGCTAGAACTCCACGATATTTCCTCATATTGCGACAAACTTTGGTGTATTGGAGCGGATTTTAACATGGTACGTTCGCCATCTGAACATTCTTCAGGGAGAAGACTCTCAAAAGGAATGAAAAAGTTTAGTCCAGTAATAGTTCATTTAGATCTAATTGAATTGCCCTTATCCAATGGGAAATTCACTTGATCTAAGATGGGAAACGACTCAACACATTCCCTGCTCGATAGATTTTTAATTTCTAGAGACTGGGACGCTATGCTTATAAATTCAAAGGTATCGTGTGCAGTTCGAGCCACTTCAGATCACTTCCCCATTATTCTCGAAGCTGGGGGTTTCATCTGGGGTCCTTACCCTTTTCGTTTTTACAACTCATGGCTGTTGGATAAAGATTGTATCAAACTAATTGAGGAAAATTGGCTGCAGATAAATCATATGATTGGCTGGTTATGCTCTCTCCTTGAAGCGGAGAAATATAAAAGGAGCCCTTAAAGGCTGGAATTTAGCAAAATARAGGCACCAAAAGGCACAAGAAAAATCCATCTTAGAAGACATTGCTTAGCTAGATCGATTGGAAGAAACTGATGAGCTGTCTTCTTCTAACTTAGGGAGGAGGAAGGGTCTTAAGCGAGATCTTCTCGGAATATATAATGTGGAAGAGTGAAATTTAATTCAAAAGTGTAAGGTACAGTGGCTAAGAGAAGGGGATGAGAACACTAGATTTTTTCACAGGTTGCTTGCTGCCAGAAAGAGGAGAGCTTTCATATTGGAGTCATCTTATACAAATAACAATAATTTGATCAATCAACCGGAGATTGAACCACAGAAGGCAATATTGGACCAAGGGCACCGAGAGCATCTATTTGTTGTAGGAAGAGAAAACCAATTGAGTTGAAAAAAATAATTAGCAAGAAGAAGACTTAACAAAATCTTCACATGACATGACAATAAATTGAGTTGAAAAATAAGATTTCAAGATTTTACCTCTCCTGATTCATTTTGCAAGCTCAAAAATCTTTCCCAGCCATACTTAGACCTCTTTGAACCATACAGCTCATCCCAATAAGCTAAACTCCCACAACTGCTAAGTTCCCACCTCAAGTGAAGGGAAGATGAGTTTGCAAAAGGTTCTCCTAAATCACTAATGCCAACTGCAGCTATCCGTATCGTGCGACCATTAGCTACAGTGGCAGAAGCAGCATGATATCTCGTTGAGCCCCAATCAGCTTGAACTGCAGCTCGTATGATGTCAATTTTATTCACTGTATAATACCATCAATTTCGAAAGATAAACTTTAGAATAAAAAAGTGAATCAGCAACTAAAACAATCAACGAATAGAGTCTACACATGATAAATAGAAACAAACAATACCAGGTTCATCAGCAATTAAAACAATTGATGAAGGGAGTCTACACATGACTGAAACCAGAACTTCTGCAATTGCCGGTGTTGGATGGCCATCTCCAACCAAATTACCACGTTTAAATCGAAGTTTCTGAGTCATTTGTGTCAGAATTAGTATATAACACGAGTCCTCCTCAATCAAGTATAATAATAACAATATTACTAATGAATGACAGTAGAAGAAAGAGAAGTACATAGGTTCCTAGTCTTTGACATATAATTTGATATGAACCATAATTTTCAGATACTTGATGAACAAAAACTCCACCCTTGCCAAAATCAGGTTCTTCATCCAAAATTTCAACAGTTTCGATAAACTCAACACCTTTACCCCAATTCTCAGGACCACCACGAAGCATGACATTAGAACGTGTTCCAGGAACAAGATGCAACTTATCCAGACTTTCCAAACTATCAGCTTCTGGTTGAGTCAAATCAACCCAGAAACCACCAAATTGACTACCATCATCCATGTGCCCAACAAGGAGTGGTGGATATGCAGCAATTTGTAAAGACGCTCTTAGTACAATAGGCCCATGAAAAGAGAGATCAAAATGCTGATATTCTTTATATAGTGTTGCTTGCAGAGTAGTATGACCAGAACCAGAAGCATAGACAGAAGTCCATGAACAAGGGGGACCATAGAAGGAACCACGTAGATCAACATTTTCTAGCACATCCAGCACAGGCATCTCCCATGTTTTATTTTGAATTTTGAAAGACTCACTTTCAACTTTCCACTTTACATGGGAATTAAAAGCATCACAGCAATAGAAATAGACTCCTGCAAATGAGAAATCAATGTTACAAAAATGTAATAAATAAATAATCACGAGAAATCATAGAACTTAGAAGTCCAAATGTCTTAAAAGTCGATCACCATTTGATGATTGCATTGTGACAGCCGCTTGAAGATATGATCCCACAACAGTCTCTACAGGGAAACTAGGAAGTATCATCATGGATGCGGGCAGAGCTACTTCAATCACAACCTACCAGTATTCCAAAGCATGATAAGCAGAACTTATTCAACCAGATCAAATTCTTAGATTTAGGTTTACTTGAGCACTGAACAAGCTAAACATGAACTATACCAAAAAAAGGGTTGTGATGGTGGCAGACCCCCATGCTTTATTGTTTAGAATTAATCTTTATATGTTATTTTATTTTATCTGTTTTATTTTGATCATTATTTTTATGAACTTTGTTTTATTTGAGTCAGATCTGTACTTTATAGTGGGCTTCACCCATTTTTGGTCTTTGTTTTATGAGCATCAGGAGAGTGATACCCTAAAATGCAAGCTTTATTGTTTAGAACTGGTCTTCATTTCTTATTTATCTTATTTTTTTCATTTCTTTTAGTTTGTCTAGGCTTTTTATCTGAGTCAGATCTATATGTTAGAGGCCTTAACACATTCTTGGACCAGTTATCAGGTTGCATGTTGTGTTACCACTTAGGTGTCATCAGACTGTTATTTTCCAATTGATGAAAATTAACATTTTTGGTTTACATTAATTTGCTTATTCAAAAAACTCAATCATGGAACAATAACTGGAACAGTGAAAGAACGAAAGATTTTTGAGTTCTTCAGTGGTATGCACTCAAGGAAGATCTTTTAAGTCAAGAAAGGTGCAGAAGAAGAAATTTGATTTTTTTCAACATGAAATGAATTTTTTTTTTCAAGCTTTTCATTCATTAATGAAAAGAAACAAATTGTTCAAGGATACAAACTCCCGATGAGAGTGAAATATGATTCAAGCACTGTTTTGGGTAAAGGAAAACCACCCAATTCATACAAATATCATCGTTCTACAGATTGATTGGATTTAATTATATACCAAGAAGCCTCTTGGTATGCAAATTTAAGAACATTTTGCGATTATTATAGCAATGATATTGATTGTAATTTGCAAACCATTTTGTAATCTTCTATTAGGAATCTTTGATACACGTATTGTAACTTGATCAAAGAATTTTTTATGAAAAGTCGAGGTTCATTGAGAAAAATGAAAGAATACACGTGGGCAAACAATAAAAACTAAAAGAGTGGAAGAGAACTTAAATTCTAAGAAAATAAATTAAAAAAGAAATATGCAGATGGAAGTTCAAGAAACAACAACAAGAATTCATTCAGAACAGCTAAGCAGAATGTTACTATTAATTCTTAAATCTTACCTCATCATAATTTGATGAGTCAAAAATAGATTGCACTTTGACAGTTGCTTTACCAGTCTTCTTTGCCTGAACAACTCCAGAAGCAGATACGGTGACAACAGTCCTGTCCGTAGAAAACCATTTGTAGTCGCTCGATGTCTTAGCACAACCTATATTCATAATTAAAAGATGTAAGTAATTTTGAAAGTGTGAAAGACTTGGCAACTAAAATGCTACACACCACCAGAAGCTTCAAGTAACACCTCCTGATAGACAGAAGGGGTCCAAGGTATGAGGATGCTTCTAGATATGCCACTTCTGTTGTCCAAGCTTAATCGTACTTGTTCACATATGACAACTTCTTGTATGATCTTGAGAACCTAGAATGAAAACAATTAAAATGGAATAAATTTTCTTTTCTTTTCCTTTTATTATTTTTATTTTCTTTTGACAAGAAACAAATTTTTCATTGATGAATGGAAAGGAAGAACAAAGTTCAAGGAAACAAACACCTGAGGGGAGTGAAAAAAGAAAAAACCACAAAATAGTAAACGTCTCCAAAATAGCAAAAGTCAAAATAAATCATTGATGAGCAAGACACCAAAATGGAGAACTCAAAATCAAAACCACAATAACCGAAAAAAGCCATATGAGAAAAACCAAAAGCAGAACCAAATTCTGAACTACTGCCCAAAAGAACAAAACACTGAAGACAAAAGCCAAGGAGATTTCAGCGGGAGATATTGCTCCAACCTGTTACAAGGCTACTGAACACCAAGATGATCGTGAGCTGAAAAAACATCTATCACCTAATCTTCCAAAAAAAAAAAACAATCATCCTTGAGATTTCATTTCAAGAAGAGTTATTCCTCTTCTTCAAAGAATTGAAATAGATCTTCATCCCTATTGTGAGTAATACAATTATCAATAGAAAAATCCCCCAATGAACCCTTTTTGATAGAAAAAGTATTGAAGAGCGGAATGGAATCCATTGCATAACTCAAACTTTCTTCAATACTACCTTTTATCGGGATAATTCAAGCCATGCGTCATGACTCCGTTCCGCCACGTAAATCGGATCAAGAAATAACGGACAAAAGTCGAGCGCACCTAGGCAATCCGTATGAGGGATAACAGCAGGAAGCATGCTGACACCCCGTACCCAAATCGTGAAATGCCCCAGAGAATTGCCAAGCATGTTGCCCCTGTGCCTGCTACACATCGGCTCCACCTCTCTCACCCACTCTCCATATAAATGAGAAGAGCAACCCTCATGAAGGTAAGCCAATTTTTCCTACACAGTTCATTGTGAGAATTTTGCACACACTCTCCAGCAGACTCTCACCCTCGAGATTATTGCCCTTCTACTCTACTTGCTCCATAATCATTTGCTCCCAACTCAAGCTCTAACTTAAACATCATAATGCATTTGGTAGAGCACCACACTAGTAGAAGATTTTTATGTGCAGGTAACCTAGAGCTTGAAGACAAAGACGTACATGGCACCTCCGTGACACCTACGTGGCGCTTGCCCATAAATCGGCATCAACACTATCTTCGTCGGAATCTAAATGAGCGTCAACTAAAGATAGAGATTTATTGTCTGGTTCAAAGGTTACAGTATGGGTAACATCAAAGGACAACTTGTGCCATGAAACTGGACGATTCTCCAATCAAGTTTTCTATGGGCTACTGAAATTGCATCAATAAATAACCACCATTAACTTCTTCCTTTTGAAAACTCTCCTCATTTAATAGCACTTCCAAAAACCTTAAACTTTGTGTTTCTATCTTTAATCAGATCAAAATTGCGAGCGACATCATTAATGTCATTAGGAGGCAAGGAGACCAAATTCTCCATAATTAAAGCCTATGATGATGTTAATGTTAATATAGGATTGATCACTAGATCGTGTGATCAATCCTATCATGGTTGATAAAGCCCTCTTGAGATTCACAAATGATAGGATCCTAAAGCCCTATGAGCTACTTTTATTTAAAATTGGAAAGATGGAGTCCTACCATGAATAGTAAACGTGAGTTCATTCAAGTATATGGGGTTGGATAACCATTAAGGACCTACCTTTATATTATTGGTCTCGTTCAACTTTTTAAGCTATTGGCAATCATTTCGGTGGTCTGTTGGAGATTCCTCAAAAACTCTTAATATGTTGGATGCCACTGATGTCGTTATCAAAGTTAAACCTAATTATTGTGGCTTTATTCCGACCATTGTGACTCTTACTGATGAGAAATATGGACCCTTCGTGATTAGAGTTTCCGATATTTGTTCATCATTTCCAGATGCCTTGTCATCTCCTAGACTGAATCTTGAGTACCTATCATCTATCAAACACTTTGGATGTTGATAGGTTTCAAATGATGAACGTTCAATCTTTAAAAGCCTGTCTTGGAATATGAAAGGTCGAAATAAAGTGAAATGGATCTAAATAGAGCGACTACTAGTGAATTTGTAGAACCAAACTTTGAACCTTGTCATGCAACTATATAATTAATTATGGAAGGTGGGAAAGCGGCGTTTTCTATGGAGAATGCTAAGATTCTCAATGAGCCATTGATCGCTAATAAATTCATTGAGGGAGGGATTACGACACAACTCGTAGATATTCCTTCAAGATCCATTAATAAGGCAGTCACTATCGGAGAGGGAGCGAAGATTGTTGAGGTGGAACACCGAGGATTCATCCCAACCTAATTTGAATTCTGAAGAAAATCAAGCGCCAGATCATAGCTGCAGTTTTCTTTGGGATGGATCATTTGGAATTTGAAAAAGCAGGCAATATTTTGAAAAACAATGAGCTGTCCTCAAATCCTAATAGTCTTTCCGATTATCTAGGCAATTCTATACAAAGGCCATTCATTAAAAGCTCATCGTGCCAATCTTGATCAGTCGTAACGCCATTTCATTCGCAGCTGCTTCTTTTGGGAAACGAAATGAACGTCCTCAAGGACAATCTTTTCCTTTGAATTTCCAAAAGTCCCATGGGCTTATTAATCTGTTGCCTTCTTTCTACATACGAAAGAATATCAAGGTTCAACACAAGATCAATTCAGAGGATTAGCTTCCAACAATTTAATGAACGCCTTTAATGAAGACAGGGAGTCTTCTTTCATAAGACTAAAGTCAGCACAAGTCCCTCCTCGGCTGGCTAAAGGAGAAATTAATTCCACCAATGAAGGGGTGCCTCAATTATTCACTCAGTGTACATTGGATGACGATAGTGATTCTGAAATTAGCATCAGTAGTTATGCTTCTTCCCACATCTCATATTCTCTTGTTCATTCCAGTGAAGTTTTATGTGAAGATTCTTTTTCAGAGGATTTTCAACCCCTTTTTGATGACCTCTGAAAGCATCTGATAATTCTCTCCAACCATTCTTCAAAGAAGCTGGTATCACATTAATATCACTCTATGAAAAATGATGAAAATCCTTTCTTGGAACACTAGAGGGCTCTATAACACAGACAAAAGACTGAAGGTAAAGAACTTTGTAAAGAATCATTGCCTGGATGTGATTTTCATTCAAGAATCCAAAATGCAGTCCATAAATCGAATGATTATCAAATCTCTGTAGAGCTCCAAGGATGTTGGTTGGACTGCGATCAATTCCTATGGTAAGTCTGGAGGGCTGCTCACCATGGGGATGAAAGCAAAATCAAAGTTACTCAAGTTTTTATGTGTCTCCATTCGTATTTCCTTTTCCAGTTCATCTGATATTTGGTTGACTAATGTTTATGGCCCTACTGATTATCATGAGAGGAAATTTTTTTAGGCAGAATTGCTTGATTTAGCAGGGTATTATGGTAATTATTGGGGCATTGGTGGAGACTTCGATGTTATTTGTTGGTTTTCTGAACAATCCTCAACTGGCAGAATTACCAAGGCTATGAAAAAGTTCGATTCCACTTTCTTTATTTTTTTTAACAAGAAATAAATTTTTCATTGATAATATTRAAAGGAAGAAAAATGTTCAATGATACAAACTCCCAAAAGGACCGAAAAATTGATAAGTGGTCATTTAAAGCACTTCCAGAGAGGCAATTAAATGATCGTCATTTTTTTTTAACAAAGATACAACTTCTCATCGAAATAATGAAAAGATAATACAAGTGCTCAAGGGAACAAACTCTCGAAAGAGTGAAAGAAAGAGAAAAAAGAGGAAAAAACTAATAACTGATTACAAGGAATTTAAAAACACTCCCCAATCAGCATCAATAAGAGAGGGAGAGTAATGCTAAAAAGAATCAACAAGAGAGCATCAATGTGAGGCTTTGAACTTAGCTAAGAAGAAAGTTTCAACAAAGGACCTTTGCTTGAAAAATAATCAACAAAGGACCCACCAATAGCTATTCTCTAAATGAACTTGTTACAAGCTGGAAGACTTTCTTGTAATTGCCCATGTGGCCTTTTGTATATTTCATACCATCAATGAAATATTTGTTTTATACCAAGAAAAAAAAGGACCTTTGCTTGCCTTCAAACAACCTCGAATTCTGTTCAAACCATAGTTGAGATAATAAGGCTTTTACAGCATCTAACCATAAACACCAAGCTGATGGAGAGAATTGAGAAGGCTGAAATAAAAGTTGAATAACATTATTACCTGCCTTAAAGATCAAAGATCCAATCCACATTGAACTGACCAAAGAGAAGACCCCAACATTTCGCAGCATAGACACAATGAAAAAATAGATGATCCTGATCCCATTTTCAACACAAAGACAGCAAAAAGAGGGGAGAAAAGCTGAAGAAGGAAGTTTCTTCTAAAGAACCTCAGTTGTGTTAAGTTTACCTTGGGAGAGAAACCAACAAAACACATTAACTCTTCTTTTTTTTTTTTAACAACATGCGAACTTCTCATTGAAATAATGAAAAGGAACAAAATTGTTCACGAAAAAGTGAAACAAAACTGAAACATAAAATAAAAACTAAAAACTAAAACAATGCCATAAAAACTCCCCAATTAGAGTAAATCAAACTAGCGGAATAAGATTTAAATAAAGGAGATAAGGAGCTCCATTGAGAGGCTTTGAATCTAGCAATGTCAAAACGAGCTGAAGGGGACTGCCTCTTATCTTCAAAGATCCTAAGATTTCTTTCATACCACACTTCATACACCACTGCCTTCACAGCATTAATCCATAATAAGGAAGCTTTTGGATTCAAGACAGGCCCCGAAAGGATTTGAAACAGATTATCTGCCACCTTGTTGCCAAAAACCCAAGCCAAGTTAAATTCCTCAAACAAAGAACTCCAACACTGCCTGGCAAAGGAGCAGAAGAAAAACAGATGCACCATACTCTCTTCATTGGATTGACAAAGAGCACAAACCGAGGGCAACAAACTGAAACTAGGAAGCTTCTTTTGTAGAACATCGTTTCTGTTAACTTTCCCATATATGAGAATCCAAGTACAAAAAATATATCTTTTGGATTTCCATATAGTAGCAAACAAATCCTTAGGCATACATGCAGAAGAACCCACCCGCCTTAGAGAAGAAACTGAAAACATACCTGAAGGTTCTAACGACAAAACTCTGTTGTCCTCTGTGTTGGAGATAGAAAACGAACTGAGAGCTAACAGCAAAGCAGAAAACTCCTCCAATTCCTCGTTGTTTCAATTCCCTTCGTCACCACATTCCAAGAATTATAAACTGGATCCCAAAAACTTGACACAACTCCATTTGGAAGAGGAGACAGATGAAAAATTCCAGGAAAAACATCCTTTAAAGGCTCTCTACCAATCCAAGTGGAGTGCCAAAAATATACTCTAAGACCATTTCCAATATACTCTAAGATTTTGAAGAGGCTCTCTGATCGTCATTTAAAGCACCCACGACTTCCAACTTGTCAGATAAAGGCTTCTCAATTCCCCCAATCAGCAACCGTTCAATCTCTACACAACCAGCCCTTCAAGAGTCTTTTCTTGAGCCTCTTCAGAATCTGAAATTGACAACTTATTAAAGGACACAACAACCTCTGTCATTCCATTTAAGGAAGATCCTTCAAATTCCTTGCTTTCAGCAATCAAAGGAGCAGAACACAAGAAAGAAAAGGCTCTTCATCTTCCAATACTTGCTTCACTCGTTGTATATCGATCTTGTTGCTTAAATATCTTGAGTCCAAAGATCTTGAGTCTTCTTGAATATTTTTCCTTTTCATATACCAATGAAAAGTTGTTTCTTGTTCAAAAAAAAAAAATATCTTGAGTCCGTGTTTGAAAGGGTGATAAATGGAGATTTGAGGAACAAAGGATTGGCGAAATTCGAACAGAGAAGCTCCCTAACTTAGGATCTTGAATTCCAATAAAAGCTGGAACGAAGCCGCAATAGTTGGATTGAACCTGAATCAATGCATTTGAGCACTCAAGCAGATTCAAAGTAATGGAAGAAATGCTCAACAAACCCCCGAAATGGCTTCCTAAAGCTTTAAAGCATTCTCTGGTCCAAAACTTCAGAGGTAAATCGCAAATGTTTATCCAACCACCATAGCTCTTAACAACTTCCTTTCTACTATGCTTGCCAAAGCTCCAATTTTTTATTTTTTATTTTTTTTGTGAAAAAAACAATTCCATTGACGTATGAAATTACAAAAGCCCATGATGGGATTACATGAAGCACTTCCAATTGGTTAAGAGGGAAGTGTAGCTATAGTGGTGAAATAAAGGAGAACATTTACACCAAGTAACAGCTAGGAAGACTATAGCCTCAAAAAAACTATCAAAAGAGGAGGAAAAGTTGTTGAAGGTGCACTGATTTCTCTCTCTCCAAAGGATCCAAAACGATGCTCTGATGAAATTTAGCCAGAGAAGCTTCTTTTCCTTTCTAAATTGGTGACCTGCAAGGGTAGTTTCTAAGAGGAGGCGGGGATCATTTGGTAGTGCAGTATACCATCCAAAGGTGATTAGGATGTAGTTCCAAAATGCACCTTCAAATTGGCAGTGAACAAAAAGGTGTTGTTGTGTCTCTAGGTTTGTTTTGCATATCACACACCAAAGCTCCAATCTTCTATTTTCACATGAAGGTTTCCAATCAACCTCCATCTACCATTTCGAAAGTATTTACCTAGCTTCCTCCCATCTTCAAACTTCAAAATGGTGTTGTCGTCGAACAACACTGCTGTGAGAACTTCAATTCCAAAGCTGAGGCAATATCCTTCCACTTATCATGTGCTTTGAGGCACTATCAGAAGGTTTTAATGCGTTATGGAATAAGTCTTCTAATTCGAAACTCAAAATAGAATAACTTAACTGAGCAATGTGAATTATGACCACAATAATCAAGATGGCAGAAAAAAGGTAACCATAGCACAGGTTATAACAAAAGTTTAAAAGATTCAGGTACAAGTGCAAAAAGTTGTCGAGAAGAATAAAAATTATGTGATTGAGTATTACCTCCTTTGTTTCGTAATTACTACCATAGTAAGCCAGTGAAGCAGTCAACTTATCTTGTCCCTTAGAAATTGCTTGCAAAATTCTAGAAGTTCGCCATTTGTGTTTGGGTACTAGATCATTGGTTAAAAGGTAAGTTCTCAAGCACTTGGTTTGGTTATCATGCAACTGGGCATCATCACTCTGCATTAGTGGAAAGGAAAATATGAGTTGAAGATAGCCGAAAAAGTTTGTGCCAAATATAAGAAGGAAGGAATAGAATCCACAAGTAGGAAAAAACAATCTGTAAAAGTAATTTGGCAATTAAAGCCCAAATCCAAGTTATTCACAGTAAATCTACTTAGCTGCAAAAGAACATGCCACAAATTAGGGAAAAAATGTATAAAGCAGAAATAGAAATGGGAGTTTTTTTTTAATAAGAAACCAAGCTTTCATTGATATCAAATAAGGAATATACAAAGGGCTACAGAAAACAAGCCCGACAAAAGGAGACCAGCCTATAAGAAGGGACCTCAATCCAAAAGAAACACATCTAACTGATAATTAAAAGTCTTCAAAACTGATACCCACGAGAGAAAGTAAATCTAACAATCTCCCAAATTTCCTCCCAGGACCTTGCATCCCCCTATATATTCTACGATTCCTCTCAAGTCAAATACCCCACAAAATAGTAAAAAACAAGTCTACCACAACAGACTTCCTCTATCCTGGAAAGATCAACACCTCCTTCATCCTCGTCCTACACTCTCTCTTACGAGCCAAGAAAACCCAAAAAACCTCCTAGAACCATTTCCAAATAAGTTGGACGAACTAGGAGCTCCACAAGATGTGGTTTTGGTCCTCAAGGCATTTTTGCAAAGGACACACCACTAAGGATCAAACAAAGGCCATCTAGTAGCAACATGAAGCCTTATAATTCCCTATCATACAATGTACTACTGATTGTTAGCCTCAAGGTATAGTTTTCCATGTCCAGAAGAACATCCTCCACCAGTATATCTTTTAGGCTAGACAACCAAAAGAGTCTTAGGTAAAGAGTTCCTACAGCCACGGCCCACAAGCCACAGGTAACTCCAGAAATTGGTATTATTGGCATGGCTGATTTTGAAAGCTAAAAAATTCTTCATAGACCTCCCTACATTTAGTCATAAAGCTCAAAGGGCTATAGTCTCTTATTAAGCAGCTACCGGAATCAATTCCTTCTCCAGCACATAGAAAATCTCTAAATTTTGTCCTCCAAAATCTTTGATACCTTCGTAGGGTTCTAAAGAAGAACCAGAATTTGAGTTTCTTAAGGTTTCCTCCCAAATGCAGTCCAAATAATTTAAAGATCATCAGTTGCCTTGTGAGGAGATATTATAACGGTAATTAGACAGCAAAAGCTAAGCTTATCATATTAGCATAATGTTAAAAGTTTCTAAGTTACACGTCAAAGAAAATATATAAGATAATTAGTCACAATTTTTTTGGAATTAAAACTGCATTTCAAAGTTGAAAATCTGTTCTGATGGCAACATTTGTAAGATACTGAGGTTACCTCAGTAATATATATTTCTTGTGCATCAGTTCCTCGTGAGAAAACCTTCATTTGAATGAGATATTGACGACCAGAAACAATATACCAATTGGCAAGAGATATAGTTCTTTCTATTTCTTCAACAGGTTCGTCGACAGTGGGCAAAGGACTAATGTACCAATGTAAAGATTCTGGCATGACAACATTTAATGATGACATTTGAATGTGCCCAACAACCCTTGTATCTTCAACGATAACAGCTGTAACACCAAATCTTAGTGCGCTGGTTAAACCCAGGTTAGAATCGACGTGAGCTATGGAAGAGTTTGAAGTAGACCATCGGTAGTGCGAAGATGGTAAAGTTACCACTGTACATGCAAAAAAAATCAAGTCAAAGTAAAAATTTAAAAATTTAAAAAAATAGAGTAGGAGAGTTAGAGGATATGCATACAAGTCAACTCTATTTTTTAGATAAGAAACATTTTATAGACAAAAGGCACAGAGCCAAAAAAAACAGCCCAAGGGCAGGGGGAAGAGGGCTCCCCCTCCCACGAACTAATGAAGAAAAGCTCTCCAATCTTGCAAAATCGATGAGAGGCTGTAATTACAAAAGAGTTTTCTATGTCTATAACACCACCAAGAAGTGTGTAACTGAACTGTATTACAAAAGTTTTCAAAAGAAGAAGACTTATCCTCAAAAGTTCTATTGTTTCTTTCCATCCAAAGATTCCAAAAGAGGGCTCTAGCTGCACAATTCCACAAAATTTTAGCTTTTCCTTTGAACTGCCAACCCCGCAGAGCTTCATTCATCCACCCTTCAACATTCTGAGGCATGCAACTGGAGTATCCAAAGATTTGAAGAAGAAAAGACCACCCTCGGAGAGCAAACTGA